AGTCTCTAGAGCTATACGCTGGTACCATTGTCCTCACCTTCACTTGGTACTTTTACAGGGACAGACCAGCTGGCTGAGCCCTCAAGGGCAGCTGCCGTGGGATATCCCCATCAAGGGCAATCATGAGCTGAAAGACTCCCCAGCATGTCCCATGACAAGAATATGCTTGGCTGGTGTGAGAAGTAAAAATAGGAAGCCTGCAGAGTTTGAGAACGCTATCTCTTTAGGAAGTGAAGTTAGTGAGCAGATTTCTCAGACATTCCCAAGCCAGACAGCTTCCTTAAGCAAAAACCAGTTTCCATTTTCACTTCAGTTGTAAGAGTCAGGGGAGTAGAGAAGAGGAAGGAGGCATGGGATGCTTAGGGATGACTTCAGCTCTTCAGGAGTCAACTGGATTTACTCATGCATATGTGATGAAAACCGAGGAGTCAGTGAATCCCATCTCTGAGGCATGGGCAACTGGGTGTCTCCTGGATCTGTTTAACTTTTTTCTCAGGTGTTAGAGCTGGGACTGTGGCTACCTGGAGTAAGAGCTATCCATCTGCCTTAAGTTATGTGAGGCCATGAGTCCATATTTTGGTCAATGGAACCAATGTTGGTAGAGCATCTACTCATAACGTCCACAAACCTTTCTCAAATTGTCATGCACTTGTTTCTTCTTGTTCTTCTTTTTCTCTAGCTGCTAGAGCTGCTAGCTCTAGAGCACATGCATCATTATTTTAGAGTTGAGACCAATTCAAGGGAGTAAGCCATAAGACAGGAGGAGTGGGTTTGGTTTCTGAGGACTTCCAGAAACAAGAGATGTCCTCATACCTTGGGTTACTTACTTCTGGACTTGCTTATGCAAGCAAAAACATAAACATCGCTCATTGTTAAGCCCCCATGGAGTTTTTAAGCTTCTTGATGCTGTTAACATTTTAACTCTTAGAGGGGTAAGCTTTGGAGTTCTCCAGTAACATAGCAGAGCTGCTACTGAAAGGTAGCAGGAAGGCAACATGTATTCCATGGCTGATGAATGGGAAGTTCTAGGTTTAGATGTTGGCCTGTTACTCTGACCATGTGGCCTCAAGCAAAGCCTACCACTCATAAGACTTGGTCAGTTAATATTCCCTTGCAGAATGGGTTTAGTAGTAGGTTTCCCAAATAGCTGTTAAAAGGTTTTGATCAGTGTCCTCTAGTGGAAAATCAACTCACAGTTCCCAGAGAATCTGCATTTCTCTGGCTCAGTGCCCACAAACAAGATGTTTGGTTCTATGTTTGTCTTTCCAAGTTCAACTTCAGGACCAAATCTTTCTCATCTGTTCATGTCTTTAGCACTGCTTTCAGCTCTTAATAGGAACCTTTCCCACTATTTAGTGCTCATTTTAAAGCAGAGTGTGTCATGTGGCTTTTTCAGCATTCAATTTTGTTGACACCTACCTGCTGATCCTTCACAGGGGTTACTCAAACCAGGTTCCCTACGGCTGTAGAGCTCAGGGAAGGAGGAACCACAGTCTGCTACAGACCCCTCATCTAAAGGCGAAAGACAGAGGGCAAACTTGTTCGGCACACAACCCTAGGCACATAGTGATGGATTTGCGTTCTACTCTTCTGGTTTCCTTCCAACTTACTTAACTTCCCTTGGGCTCAGTTTACTTTATCTATACAGTGAGTATAATAAATCAGTACCCTGCAGCTAAATTATATAAGGTTATAAAATGTCTGGCACTCAATGTATATTAGTTTCTTTCACACACACACGCACATGCATACACATCTTGCTCTCTCTTGACAGAAAGAGACTTGGTCATTTAGCTTTTTAGACATTCCAGTTTTATTTGAAGAACTACAGCTCCGTGATCTAAGATTATGACCTGGCAATTTTAAGTCACAAATATCTTCAGAGGAACATGAATGAATCGTTGGGAGAACGGGCTTAATGTTCTCATTTTGAAAACTCAGTTCTGCCCTCGACTTCTTAATTTCCTCATCTACAAAGTATGGTATTACAACCTCTGACTAGCTGAGTCCTTGAGACCTTATAGTTTCATTTTTCTTTAAAAAAAAAAATCTGTGCCCAAAGCTCATTACTGCATGTTACCTTATGAACCTACTGCAAGTTAGAATGGATAGATAGACAGATGAGTGAATAGATGCTGAGAGGCAAGGTAGCTGCCCTCCCCCATTCTTCTGAGCCCTTCAGAAACCCAGGTGAAATGAGCTGATGCTGTTGTCTAGACCACTGGCAGCTGTGGCTTGGTGGGGATGATCTTGATAGTTGCATCTTTCTTGGCCTCAGCCAGTGATTTGCAACAGAATATCCTAGAACTACCTGAATTGGAAATTTTAGCTTGCTAAAACTAAGGCTCCCTGGCCTCACGATAGGCTTGTCAAAGTGTAAACCCTGGGGTGGGCTTTAGAATACACATTTTTACTGCTGGGTTCTTCACTACAATGAATTTTGAAGGCAATCATTAGTCCTTGGGCTAGCCATATTCAGATGATGTGAAACCCAGGCTTGTCTTACAAGAACTAGGTGAACACCTTGTTGCAGTAATTCAGCTCTCAGCTTCTTGATTTGTTTCTTTTCACCAATATTTTCAACACCTTGAAGACAACCAGGCTGACTTCAGCCTCAGCTCAATTATTACAGGTAGGGCTGGGATGTAGCTTGGTGGTACAGCGCTTGCCTGGCATGCGTGAGGCCCTGGGTTCAATCCCAGCACCAAAAAAGAAAAGACAAAAAAAAAAACCTCTCCTCAATTATTACAGGCATTGCAACCTCTAGAAACAACCAGCAGGGGGCATAAGATGCACACATATTCTGTCCCTGCCTTTCTTCCCTTTAATCCTAAAATCCTTTTTAATGTTGCTTTTAAAAGTGAGGAAAATCAACCTTTAAGACTTCTTTCCTTAGAAAACTGGAAAGAAAAATCAAATGTTCCTGAACAAAATTAAATTTTTTATCTCCTTAATCGAATCAGCCAATATCTATTTTTACCAGGGTTTTTATTGCATATGGTGACTTAAGAAAGAAGGACCCACTTCCTAAAATAAGGTGATCTTCTCCAATTTCATTCTTCATGCAGTGGAAGTAGAAAAATTCATGAGTTTATTTTATGGAAAAAATACAGCTCTGTTCTCTGCATATACACCTCTGAGAAGGTATTGACATTGACAGATTGTCAAGCTGGAATATGTGTCTGTCTTTTCCAGGCCTGGAGTATTTTTCTTAAAGATTTTTTTTGATAGACTGCCTCTAGTATACAAAGCATATATTACTGTGGAAAAATTAGAAGGCAAAGATATTCAAAAAACAAGAGAATAAAAATCACTACTGTGTCATATCATGACAACTGCTATACATTTTGGTTGTAGCCAAGCACACCCACACTCACACACACAGAGTACAGTATACGTATATCTGTTCAGACTGTGTACATCGCCTGTAACAGGCCATCAACATATCTGTGCCAATGAACATGCTTCAAACCATGAACGTAAGTGGCTGCATAGCATTTTCTCATATGCGTGTTGCACCGTATTTTCAATTAATTCCATAGTAAACTAAAAGTAAGTTGAAGTGTCTGGGAATGCTATAAATATCCGTGTGATGGTTATGCCTTGGTGTAAATCCTTATGTACATCCTTAATTACACCGGGTCTGTTCTATTTTCGTAGACATTTGCAGAGGCTCCTAAGTATGCATGGGTTGACCATTGTGATTTGCAAGTAATTTTGACGGGGTGTAGATTCGTGGATGTGTGGGCAGGCCTGGGCAGCTTTATCTCAACTGCCTTGGGAAGGGGGTGTTGATTTGTTTTCTTTTCCTTGCTTATGTTTCTGTAATGTTGTTTATGGAATGGAACACCCACCTGTCAGTCAGTTTTTCCTCTGCCTTTACCAAGAAGAGAAAGGAGAGAGTGGGGAGAGATACAGACAAGTACAGCTGGCTACTCTGTTTTCCCCACGTGGTTTCCAAGTCACCAGCCAATGTATCAGAGAAGTGACTTTATTCCCAGCCACTCTGCCCCTTAAAATTTTGTGTAGTTTGGACCGGGGTGTGGATTAAGTAATCTATCACTTGCCTAGTGTGTGTGAAACCCTGGCTCAATTCCCAGTACAAAAAAAAAGGAAGAATTTTCTATAATTCCCTCTAGTCGTCAGTGGATTATAGGCAAGAATGAGAGTGAGAAGTAGATGGTGTATTTGAGACCAAAGGCTCCAGTACAATGTGGAAGCATCCATCTTTGAAGAATGCAATCTTTGCTAGCCCTGATGAGGAACTTTCACAGGAATGCTTCTGACTGAGGGGTTGGAGCTGGGTGCCCATCCCCTATTTATACGCATACTTTGTGACATCACTTTGGCTTTTGTGTGCTCCACAGGAACCTTTCAAAAGTGTCTGCTGATTACATAACTCCCCACAATCCCATAATTTCTTGACATGTTTTCTCTGGCTTAGTGCTCAATTTTTCTGTCTTAATTTGAGGATCACGTGTAGCCATAAGCTTTCTGGGGAAGTTCTCTGGGACTTCCCCTGAAATAACAATCCCCTGAGACAAATAGTACATACTTTTACTCAAACTGTAATGGGCTCCCACTGTATGCCTGTTTCCCTGAAACTGGCTGTGAAAGGGATACAGGAAAAGCATGAAATATGAAATATGATTTCTGAACCACTCATTTGCTCAGCACATATTTTTTGGGAAACTTGCAATATAGTGTTTAGTTGAATGAATATTAAAGTGTAGCCACAATCCTGGCACTTAGATATTTCTGTTTCACGGATGAAGGAACTCAGGATCAAGAAACAGGTGCTCTATTCAATACTGCACAGCTAGTAAGTGAAGGGCCAGATTCATACCCCACTGCCAGCTTCCAGAGTTTATGACAGTCACAGACCTGCTATACCCTGGGAGCAAATGGAGGGAAAGACTGCAAGAGCTAACATCATGTCATATAGGCATGTTATCAGAAGAAACACAGCTTTCAAGAGGTGCAGTCCAATTTTCTTTTACCTGAATCTAGGCTGACTTTAATGGCTTGATTGTAATCCATAGAGTGTGCTGGAAGTGACGCCATGGGATTTCTGAGGCTAGGTCACAAGATGCCGTAGCTTCTCCTTGGTCTCTTGCAGTGCTTGCTCTTTGACCTTTCCTTCCTGGGATGCTTCCTCTTAAAACACTTCACCACTCTTTTACAAACTCGGCCTAAGTCAACAGGCCCGGTCTTCCTGTTGTTCAGGCCCAGACGCTGGCTACCTGAGTGAAGAAGCCCCCAACAGTTTAAGTCTGGAAAGGAGGTGCAGACATTGAAGAGTCTGCAGAGACAGCCATTGCCCTGTTCAGTCCAAAGTCCTAAACTTCACAACCCACAAGCACAATAGAGGGTCCCTGTTTTTTTCTGCCATCTCAACACACAAAGGGAATGGGAAGAGCAGTCCAATTAATTGATGCTGACATCCCCGCTGGTTAGATAACAAGGACCCCTGACTCACCTTTGGCACAGCTGAGGGGAGGTCATGACCTAGGGCAGAAAAGAGAACCAATGTGAATGTCAGCCACTTGAGTTCAGCCACCTCCCCAAAGGAGCGGGCACTTTTCAAAGGCCATTTCACCAGGCACTCGAAGAGATTCCTTTATGTCTGTATTACCATCTACTTGAAGGAACGTATTATTAGAGAAAGTACAAAAAATAAAAAAGGCGTGTAGAAGAAAAAAAATCAAGACACACTTTTTATGATTCTCCTGTACACGTGTGTGTGTGCGTGCGCGCACGCAGCTGCATGCATACATTTAAACCTATGCATATAAAATAATACGAGAATGTATAGGGCCTTACAAGCACTTTATGCATCTTCCAGTGTTATTCAAAAATGTGATGTTTATCAGCTCTGTGATAGTTTGGAGGGGGATTTGGTTCTTTCTGGTTTTGACTGTTGTAAATAAGATTGCGACGTGCATCTATTTTTGCATTTTTAACCTCATCTCTGAATATTTCCATGGAAAGACTGTAGTATAGTGGATTGAGGGGCCAGATTGTGTGGCTGCTCTAGGACCAGTTGCTTTCTGGATGGGTTATTGCCAATTCATATTAATTTATACTCTTACCCATAGAATATGAAGTGACCATCCTACAGTGTCTCACTACCATTAAATCCATACTTCTGACACCATTTTGCCTACTTGCTACTGATTTCTTCTCTTGACTGTTTTACTCCCTTGATGACTAGTAAAACTGAATTATCAGCCTTTTCTCCAATGGTTTTGGGCCATTTGCATTTCTTCTTTGGTAAATTACCTGTATGTATCTATGTCCATTTTTCCCACAAGGGCTTTGTGCAGTCACATTAACACCATTGGACAGTGTGCTTTGGGGAGCAGCTTTTCTCTAGATTTCGGGCTCTGATCTGTAAAGCCCTGGGGTGATGGAAAGCTCCAAAGGATGGCACTTCCGTGAGCCAACTTGTTTGTGCCTTTAAAAATCCCTGGCCCTTGCAGCACACCTTTCCTCCGAGGCTCTTGAAATGCGTCACAGGAGCAATTAATTGAGCATCGCAACGTTCTCCGGGTGTAAATATTTATGAACCCTATTTAGTGTGGCTGGGACATTGGGCACACAATAGTTAAGCAGTGAGGTGTTAGTAACTAGGAGACCATGGTTCATGAATCCAACTTCCAGCTTACACTCTTGTCGTCTCTTAGCCAGTTTAATCCCGAGAATGACCTTGTGGGGAAGCTGTTATTGTTCCAAATTTACAGAAGAGGAAACAGGGCATAAGACTGAACAAATTGCCAGATCCAGAGGGTCACAAAGAATGAGGGGTTTGCCAACACCTGTCTGCCTCTTAAGCTTTTCTGTCCTCCTACCCCATGCCTGTAGGAAGAGGGAGTCATGCTCTGGACGTGCCCTGCTGCTGTGGCTGGCCTCAGAGCCCTTGTGGTTAGCAGTTGGCACCTTCTCAAGTTGTCTGAGATTCTCAGACAGTGACAGTAAATCAACCAGTGAGGAGCAAATCACTTATCTGGGGCCTGCAGATGCGCTCTTGACACTTTAAACATATAGCCTCTTCCCTGACCCCTGACCCCTGACCCCTGGCCTTTGATTAAGGCCTCAAAAGGCTCCCCAGACTTGGAAGGTCTGGCATGGAAGTGGAAATGATATGTTTTCGTGACCATACAGTGAGCTTACTGTAAGTGTGGTTAGCCACCCCAGTGATTCCAACACAAGCAGCTTGCGAGTCAGAAGCACAGGGATTTTGAATACAAGGAAGACTCTTCTGGAGATCCTAGAAAGAACTTTGACTTTCTTATTGACTTTCTTCTGACCTGGGCCTCACCTGGATTTTAGCAACAAAAATGTGATTAGAGATTATGTGGCCCAATTTGTTAGTTTTATAGAGGGGCCCAGCACGGCTAGAGAGTTCTTCCACTTCTCAGACTCCTAGAGATAGAGCTGAGGTCATTTAATATCTAAAAAGAGTGGAATGTGCCAGGTGCTGGTAGCTCCCATCTGTAATCCCAGCTTTTTAGGAGGCTAATATTAGGAGGATTGAGGTTCCAGGTCAGCCCGGGGGCAAAGACTGTTTGCAAGACCCTATCTCAGTATCGATGGAAAAAGCTGAGTATGGTGGTACACATCTGTCATCCCAGTGATGGTGGGCTGCATAAAATAGGAAAATCACAGTCCTGGCCAGCTTGGCTAGGCAAAATGTGAGACCTTAGCTCCAAAATAACTAGAGCAAAAAGGATTGGAGATGTGCACAAGCAGTAGAGTATCTTCCAAGCAAGTACAAAACCCCGAGTTCAAATCCCGGTGCTACCAAAAAACAAGAACAAACAAACAAAAAAGGCATGGAACAAAAGGGAAGAGAATGTGTGTTGTGTGGGGACTGACCCAGGCTCTAGCTGCAGGAGTTTATCTTTTGATAAGAGTTTGGCCTATTTCCCTTTATTTTCACAATTTCACTTTTCCTCCCAATTCACTATTTTTAAACTTTGTGTTTTCAAAACATAAAAAGTTATATATAGTTAGTGTACAGAACTCGATGAGTTTAGAGGTCAGAATATACCTATGAAGGACAAATAGTACCTAGCACCACTTTTATGATGACTCTACAGTAAAGGTCAAACTCTGAGAAGCAGAGTGGGAGGATGGTTGCCAAGGATTGGGCTGAGGGTGGAGGAAAAGGTATCCTAAGGGTTCAGAGTTTTGGTTATTCAAGACAAATAGATCCTAGACCTCTTCTGGTCAGCATAGTGCCTACAGTTAACAGCACTATGGTCTACTTAAAATTCTGCTAAGCGGGCAGATCTTATGTTAAGTGTACACATACAAGGAATAATAAGAAACAGAGGAGAGAGAATACTTTTGGAGGTGATGGATGAGCTTGTGCTGTAGATTTCAGCTGACAGAAAATTTTAGCTCCACTTTGAGATGTTATTAAACTTAGAATAGCCAAGCAACTCACCCAAAGTGGCACAGGGAGCAACGGCAGAATCAGGTGTTGCTCCATTCTACCTCCCTTAAATTTATGAGTCTATAGCAGCAACTCAGACTGCATCCGGAAGCCTCCTCCCAACTGCTGAGGCAGTCTGAAAGCAGCTCATCTGATCCATTCTGCCTCTGGTTGGGGCCCTGGAGTGTAGGTACTCATTCATATGTCATGGTCTCCTGGGACTATGCACCCTGGGGCTCTCTGTGCGTCAATGCAAGCCAAGTGAATTAGCAGAGAAAGCATCAGCAAAACAGGGATTGGGGTTGTTATTCCAGCTGAGCGCGCTGCTGTGAGCCAGAGAGCTGGAGAAACAAAGCAGGAGGGAGAGGAAGGAGGCTGGCACCACTGCCTGGGGCAGGGGAAATGAGCATCTGGACACCAAGGTTTTGTCCGCCTGGAGTGTGGACGTTGTCTTGACACCAGCAGCTGACAAAGCTCCCCGGAAAGGCTCGGGTGTTAATGGTCTTTGCAGCTTGACAGCCCAGGGTGATGAATGAAAGATACTCTAGCTAACATCCGGGAGGTTTGATGGGCGCTCTCTGTGCTCCAGCAAGGCCCATGTGTTTGCAAGCTGCCTCTTGCCAGGGAATGACAAGGCTTGCCCTGGTCTTTGTGTCAACAGCATCAATAACAAACACAGCCACGTGTGAGTGGGCCACGGCTGGATTGTGTCCTAGTTTGGCAGCAGCCCTCTGACCCTCTGCGCCCCCTGCTGCCCTCCACATCTGGGGCTGAGTAAAGCAGATCTTCCTTCTTTTGCATTTCTAGTACACACTGGAAATGACAAAATGACAGGTGTCACCAGTGTGGCAGAGGAGTTGAAGGAATATGAACTGAACAAGGTTTACCCCCACACCCACACCTCCACCCTAGGTCTGTGGTTTTCAATATGTAAGCCTTATGACAAATACAGATATTTAATTCTGAATTATTTTTAATTTTTAATCCCTTTAAGTAATTTAATTCATTTGATGATTTTTAATTTTTAAAGGGTGCTACAGTAAACTCCTTCCCCCTGCCCCCTCTCTTTCCTGTTGCCCGGCAGAACTGGATCTTATCATGCAGGCAGGACGTTCTTGTGTCCTACCTAGCTCTGGGAACACAGTTTGGATGGTGTGTTATTCCGGTCCCATAGAGACAGGGACTTGGTCCTGTCTCCAGGGTCAGGCTCCTGGCAAGAAGACTGGTAACTATCAACTCTGGAGTGCAGTGTGTGTGGTCCCCTCTGGATCTCCCCAGGCTCCAACTACAAGTCCAGAATTCAGTAGCAAACCCTTGGGAAATGATCTGGGTGATTTCATACCACCTGCCTCTCCTGCTTTCAAACTTCCAAGACTGATAACTGGCTGGGCTCCACAACTCACTTTCAGCTCTGCCCTCCTCCCCCCCGCAAAGCTAAAAGGCTACTCCAGAATAAATTCCCTAGTTTTTGAAGGACAAATAGTATTTTTAGGAGCTACTAAACTCATTGTAAATTCAGAGAGAAGTGAAAAAGGCTCTTCAATTTCTAAATTCGTTCCCTTCCTTCCTTTTGAATGTCTGCACTGCAATGGGTACTGAATGTGTTACAGAAGTGATTTCACACAGGCCCAGGGCCCCAGGTCAGGTTTTGATGGGGAGCATCTTTATCCCCATTTTGGAGCTCTGCAGAATACTAGTATGAAATGGGGCATTAAAGATCTAACCAACCCTCTCATTTTGCCAGCGTGTTAGCCCCTGGGTAACCGATGGTCCCTGTGCCACACCATCCATACTTCCCGCCGTTTGGAGGAGGAGGCTCCATCAGGAGCTGTGGGGCTAAGATTTGCACATGTATAGTGTTGCCCAGCGAGTGGGGAACAAGGACTCAGTTAGCAGGCCCATGTCATCCTGGAGGCCGTGGATAAAGGATGTTCAGGGCTGCATCTCCGAAAGGTGATGGACGAGACCATGAACTTGACAGGGAGTAAAGAACTGGGCTTTACTCCAGGGAAAAGGGAATGATGGCTGAACATGGAGTGATTTCCTCACTTCCCACGGGGTCACTCAAACTCTCCTCTCATCACCTGAGCAAGTCCCTGACATCTGCCTGATTGAATTCACATCATACAAATAGAAGAGAGTACAACTAAAATTCTCAGACTTCCTACATCAGACTCCTAGTTTCTAAAATGAAGACTGGAGCCTCATACAGTGCCTGGAGCATGGCCCAAATGCACAAATGTGCTCCTGAGTAGGCAGGAATGAGTGAATAGGGGAGGGAATGAATGCCAAGTGTACATGCCCAGGAAAGCATAGATCAGGGCATCCCATGAGTAAGACGGCCAAGAGATGCACTGCAGTCCAAGTCTGGGTCTAGATTCAGATCTGTCCTAACTCACCAAGGCCAGTAGAGAGTCCACCACATAGCAGGATCCTTCTCCATGTGTACAAACATTCTCAACTCCCCTTGGAAGGGATTCTACTTTTCATTACAGATTGGACAGGAGATGTTCCCACCCCATGTTACCTTGAAGCAGATGACATTCACCCCAAGGTGGAATAGCTCATATTTTGTAAGCAAATATATGGATCCGTTGTTTCTTAAAGGCATCCCTACTAGTTTCAAGAATCTTGATCGTTATTTGAGCTGATACTTAAAAGCTGCACATATTTATGGATGTTTGATACATGTATACACTATCTAATATTCAAGTCAAGAATCTTTCTCTTGCCTATTTTATTTTTATAAAAATTATTTAGGGAATACAAATGCCTGCAGGAGCCTGGGGAGAGCACTGTTTACGCCATTCACAGTTGACATAGCTCAAGGTCCCTGAGCCCCTACTGCCTGGGCAAGCCCAGCCCCACTCCCACCTCCCTGAGCCTGCCCTGCCTGGGCCTGTCTGGACTTCCCCCTCCTCTGAGCTTCTGTGCAACTTCCTGTCCTAGTAATACACTTAGTAAAGTGTGATTACTAATATATTATTATCTTGTATTGATAAACTCATTTTTTTCTTTCCCCAACTAGTTTCTGAGTGAGGACAGTCCTTTGTGAGCTTTTCAGCTAAGCTAGTGATGTCCCTGACAAATACTAAGCAATGAAAACAACATTCTATAGATTCTAAGATAAGTAGAATTTGCCTTGCTTAGTTTAGCTGGGACATTCTTCCAGTGAGAAGTCACTTCCTGTGAGTTCGAAATCCCCTCCATCTCTCTCTGACCCTCCCTTCTTGGTCGCTTCTTCCATCTCTTCTTCCCTTCATCCTTCTTCCCCTGTTAAAGTTCCTTTTGTCACCTATTTAAGTTTTTATACACCATGCACTCCACAAGGCTCTGGGTATAGTATAAGCTGCCAGCATGTTCATGTGTCACCATCACAAAGGCCTTATCAGTCCTTACTTTATCCTTCCTCTTCCTCCTCTCCCTTCAGCAAATCTTTACTGGGCATCATGCATTGGGTAGGAGCCCCTTGTAGACCAGGGGAGAGCTCGCGGATACCCCACCGGGTTCATGCACTCTGTGAAAGTATTGCATCTTTAGTGAAGATGCACAGTGGGGGGGGGTGACAGAGAGAGAAGTGACTCTTTCAATCTCTTAGCGCTGCAGAATCCAAGGGGAACTGCAAAAAGGCCAGCAAATTCAGAGCATGGGAAGTGGCAGACAGACAGCAGTGCCAGCTGGATTCTGGGTACACCTGGCTGGAAGGGTTTAGTGCACAGAATAGAAGAAGGCTCCTGTCTCCTAACAGTGAGCCACCTGCATCTTGTCCCTTGGAGGGAAGTGTGGCTGTAGGTGTAGGGTAGGAAAAGGAGATTGATTTCAGAAAATGAAGATAGGGATTGGCTCTTACTGATTGCTAGAACACAGATTTGGCAAGCCCTTCTCTCTGATAGACGCCGTGTCCGTCAGTCCCCAGAGGGCCTGCTTCTATTTCTGCAGACGTGGTATGCTACCTTAAGATATGCTACTTTTGTCTTTTTTTCATTTTCACACCCTTTCCCACTGCACTACAGACAGCATCCCACCTTAAGGGGTGGGACAGCACTCCAGTGGGGGGACAACTCAGGTACTCGCCATTCTCTCCTGCCTCCCACTATGCTTTGTCTAGAATCTTCCTCCCTGCATCCACCTGCTGTCTCTCAGTGGGAGGGGGCAGAATGGAGTCTAGCCCAGAGGCCTCTTACTCCAGGTCCAAAGCTTGCACAGTTGAAAACAAAGCTTCCAGCCAAGGTTCTCCAACTGAGCAGGAATCAGAATCCTGGGTAGCTGATTTACACACAGATGCCTGGGCTCCAGCAATTGCATTTCTGAGATTCTGCTTTTCTAACTTCCCTGGAGAAACTGACTCTGCTGACCCAGGCCCAGCCTCTGAGAACCATTGTGGCCAGGCATTGCGACCATCACTAATATGGGCATACTTCCCAGGAGAGGACTGCAACGACAGTGGGTTAGTGACTTTTAGGAATAGAAAAGTCAATTCATGTACATACAGATGTCCCTCAAAATCTGCAGGGTGTTCGTTCCAGCCCCCTACACCCATGGATTCCAAAATCCATGGGTCCTCAAGTCTCTTATATAAAATGGTGTAGTATTTGCATAGAACCTGAGCACACCCTCTTGTACAGGATATATTTTAACTCATCCCTAGATTACTTATAACAGCTATGCAATGTAAACAGTTGATAAATTGTATTGCTTAGGGACTAAACTGACTATCCTGTTATGTGAGAAGGTTTTGATCATTAGAAGCTAGAAATGGATTTGAAGTTAGACTCTGAATTCAAACCCAGCTGTCACAACTGACTAGCTCTGTGATTGTGACTACAACATGTGACCTTTTTCCTTACCTGTCAATGGAATAAAAATACCTACTTCACAGCGTCATCATGAAGATTGAGTGATAAAGTTCCTTTCATACTATCTGGTACTCGTTCTCAATTCCTGATTGAATGTGAACTCAATTGGAAAGCACTGAGCGGTATGTTTCTGTCTCTGTATACACAGGAAACAGTACAAAAGAGAAGTGGGTGTTGCGAATTTAGCTAGCCGAGTTCCACAAGATGTTGTAGGTCACATTCACCTTGATATGCAGACAGATTATGGATAATGGATGTGGGAATAATCTGTGCTTTTCTTGGGAGCCTCTGGGGTGGTATCATCTGAACGGCCCTGGGGCTCAGTTTAGCATCTGGCCATGTGGGTTAGCAGGTCGATGCGTGTTTGAACTTGGAGGTGGATGCATTTCTGCCCCTGTGAAGAGAGTTAACACTCACACCTAACAGTGTGAGGGCAGTGGCTTGGAGCGCCAGGGCTGCTTTCTAGCTCAGTAATAGTGACATGTCTACCATTTACCGTAGCAAAATTCAGAGAGATTTTTACCGTGCCTGGGTTGCATTCTTCTCTCCTGTGAAAGGGAGACTAATAAGAGTGTGATGGGTAGGATCCAACAAGAGAGTCATCTATTGAGCTCTTAGGATGCCACCAACACATAGGGGGCACTCGGTGACTGTTCTTTATTGACAACCTACTATGTTCCAGGCATACTACAGAGGCCATTTATTTAATCCTCAAACACTACTAGAGGCTCAGGGGACATGGCAGTGAACGAGCTTTTCCAAATACCATTTTGAAAGTAAACAGCTGGGTACAGCTGTTGGAGGCTATGCAGCTGGTAAGTGGGTCAGCTGAGATTTGAGTCTGGGCCCAGTGGACTCCCTGTATACCATGACACTGCTGTCAGTTGCATCCCCTGCTCCTCTGTCACCCAGTGTGCTAATTGTCATTTCTATGGGGAATGAATATGTTGGCTTAATAGTTACTAAAGTAAGATAGTAGACACAAATATGTAGCTTTCAGACATTTTAATTTGATTTATATAGCTCAAGTACTAATTTATATTCATAAAATACTTTCATGTAAAATATGCAGTGGTACAGAGAATTGTATGTATATGGGAATTTAAAAAAAAAACTCGGCTTATAAATGGTTTGGAACAGGTTGCAGAAACATCGTCTGCTGCTCTTTTTAATATATCTTGAGCATGCTATGACACATTCTCAAATAATTTGTTTTGGAAAAAAGCATTGCTCTCCTCTCTCTGTCTTTTTTCCCTCAAATGTAACTGTAAATATTACTTTGATGTATTTAATTGCTTCAACCCTCTCAATTCAAAGGAAGGCTTCTAACCCTTCCACTTTCCATCCCTTGCTTTTGTCAAGAAATAAGAAAAACAGATCTAAAATGCATTATTCAAATGTATTTAATGTAAACATTAAAGAAGTCTAAGAAGAGCTACAAATATTTCTTTCTTAAAGTGGTTTTGAAACATAGTGTGAGTATTCTGTCTTATGGCATTCATTCCCACTGCTTAGGGAAAATATTTATTCAAACACAGAGTAAGATTGCAAGACTGCTGACAGCGTCTGCTACATAGTAGGACCTGGAGGATGCTTGTCAGGTTGACTTGAGTTGGATGAAATTTGGATGTCAAGATTGGTGATGCTCACAGAGACCCTTTGGGTACTGCTAGGAAGAGTACTCTAAGAGGGCTTGGTGAGGGAGTCTCGGTTGAATATGGGGAGACCCACGTTCTGAGCACCAGGAGGCTGTCCGGGGCCAGTCTGAGGGTTCTTTCTTATCTGCTGGCTTGTGAGACTTGTGGCCAGATACATGATCCATCATTCAAATCATTCACTAGCAGAGGGACAGATGTCTCCTTCAGTGTTTCTCTCTTGGGCTGTTTGAGACCTCGGTGGATGGTAGAAGCAGCTGTGGCCAGCAAAGCTCTAGAGGCCGGAGGCTTTGATCCCAGGGCTGTATCATGTATCTGCTGCTTGTTCCATCTGCATTAAGGCCCCTCTGCATCTTGGTCTCTGTGTAACCTCTAAGATCACTACCAGTGATGCAATTCAAACACAATAATATTTTCTATGGGGGGTGGTGCGGGGAGAGAGAGAGAGAGAGAGAGAGAGAGAGATTTCACTCCTCCATTAATAAACAAGTAAAGATTCTGACCTATTTTTTGGCACTGAGAAGTTCTGGAATTTCAAATCACTGGGTCCTTCTTTTGTCGTCCTTTTATTGCCCCTGGGATGAAAGAAAATGGATTATAGTCAGGAATTAGCAAGAAGCTAGGGGGAAAAATTAATTAATGCATTCATTCATAGAAACAACCACCCAGTCAGATTTAAGTAATTAATGCCACACGTGTAATTCTGAATCTCTTTTTGCATTTCTATTGGGGTTAAAAAAAAAAACCCTTGTGTTTAAAGTAATTTAATTACTTAAAACCACTTTTTTAAAGAACGTTTTTCTTTTTTATAGGAGCAGTACTGTGGGGTGGAGGAAGTTCCCGGGTCAAGATGAAGTTGTGGCTGCCTCTCTCACAGGAGAAGGTGACCTTGGTGTCTTCCTGTAGCTCCAAGAATCTTATCTGTAAAGTGAAGAGCATCATCCTTCTGCTGCATGATTGACAGGAAGCTGATAAGATACCGAGAGGACCACAACTTCAAGTCAGGCAGGATTCTAGCTGCTTTCCTATGCTATCTGAATTTGACAGTCTAGCAAACATCATCCCACGTAGGAAGGCAGACTATTCAGCAAGCATAGCTCTGATCCAAGTAATATTTACTGAACTCCCATGTAATTTAGGCACTTGCTAAAGCACTTTCCATGAAGAGATTAAATTATTTTAAATTGAGTTAATTTGTTAAAATTCATTAAGTAGGTTCACTATCATAAGCCATCATTGTTATGCATCCACGGTTCATTTAATTAACCCAGTTTAACACACTTTCTTTCCTTTGTCAGGCATTTCATGAGTTTTATCACTTACTGGAGATTTTTTCCTCCACAGTTGCTCTTTGACAAGTAGCCAATTAGCAGGTCTAAACTCAATGTCCCTCTTTGTCTCTGTTTGGGCCATCCTTGCCTCTTTTTGGTCCTGTACATCCTCTGTTCCCTTCCAGAGAGCTCTTGCAGGTATGGTCCCCTCTGTCTAAGATGCCTATTGTCTTCCTTTTTCTTGTTAACTGCAACTGTTGCTTTTGAACTCAGAGAACACCCCCTGCCCTCTGCCCCCACCTTGAGGCTGGCCCCTTTGGTTTAAAACCCTTGGCTGGGTTTTAATTTTATTTTTGTTTTAACTTAAACTGCCATCCCATTAACTCACGATCCCTGGAGACCATAGATTTACAGATTTGCCTCCCTGGGGCCTGGGTTCATGCCTGGCTCTCAGCAGGCTTCTGTAGCCATATGGGAATGTACACAGGACTGAATGACTACAGGACAGCCTCATGATGACCCGAGGCTCTCTCTCCATCTGGTATTTTGTGTGTAGCCCATAGATACAATTAATAGCATTATTTCATGATTTCAGTATTCCTTGTTCCCTTTCCCCCATTGTTTAATTATTTCAAAATGATTTAATTATTGTGTTATTTCCTATACTTCATCATTTCAGTACTGGGGGGTACTCCGGGCCTCATGCTTAAGTGGTCTACTACTTGAGCCACACCACCAGCCCTTTGTATTTTGTTTTTGAGATAGGGTCTCATTTAACTTTCCCTAGGCTGGTCTTGAACTTAGGGCTCCTCCCAGGTAGCTGGGATCACATGCCTGGCTCTACAGTTCCTTTTTTTCTACCAGGTAAAGCTGATCTGCATATCTATATATTTGTACCTTGAGTTCTCTTCTAAGTTCCAGGTATGAACATCCACCTGTTTTCCTGGGCTTTTTTAACCAGTTTCTTCCAGAAGATTCAGATCTTTGTTCTTGGGGGAGGCTCCGTTGCTTATAGCTTAATTTCTAAGCCAGTAGCCTGGGCACTAAACTTGGATCATTCTGCTCCTCCCCGCCCATCATTGCCTTCTTACTAAGACTCAGATCCCCAAATGCCTCTCAACTCCGCTCCTTCCTCTTTGTTCAAATAAGCAAGACTCTATCTTATGTCTACCTTTAGCATCTCCTGAATGGCCTCCAGTATCCACCCCCTACATTTATCCCTGGCCTCCTGGCCTCCTGGCATAAGAACAATCTTTCTAATTAGCAAAATAACATCCAGTCACCTTCCTTCTTGGAAATCCTCACCCGCTCTCCATTGCTGCAGGATAAAATCCATGCTTTTAACCACAAGTGCCAAGATTCCTCACCCAGGGCCCTTGAATATCATTTACGTGTGTTCTCATTGCTAGCTACCCTCTCTGCCAGGGCCCCCACACTGTGGCCTTTGAGCCATATTTTTCATGTTTTTTTTTTTTTTTTTATGTTTCCATCTCATTCATCAGATTTTTCTTTATGCCTCCTCTGGATCTTGAAGAATATTTTCCATTTTTTAAGGTCAAGTTCAATTATGGCTTCCCTACAAGTAAGTTCTCCCTACTGCTTTCTCTTTGAGTCTTTTTGCTTGCCTGTCTCACTGTTTATTCATTTGCTCATGGATCCATTCTTCGTTTACTTAGCACATAGTTCTTGGACCTATTCTTTCACAGGTAGTGTGTTGAGCAATGGGATGAGAAAACCAAGGAAGTCTGCACGTGAAGCTTTTGTTGTAGTTGGGGAGACATGTTTATATCATAAACATAATAATGATAATATTGTAATGATAATATTACTTTATCACATTGACCGGTATGTGCCTCTCTGTCTTCTTCTGGAGGGTCTTTTTGAGAGTAAGATATATCTCGGGCATGTTTTTCTCTCTAAGAACATGGGCTAACTTGCTCAAGCGTGCATAGATAACAAATAGTAAATGGTCTGCCAGTCTGTGTTTATCCATAACAATGAACCATGTGTTTAATTGTGTAGAGTCCTTTGTATCTCTCCGATAGCAGGGGAGTTCTGATCTGTCCTGGCACCGAGAAGGAAGCCCTCAGTTTCATCTTATCACTAGCTTATGGGAATCGTTTCTGAGTTTCAACAGCCCATGCAACATTCTTATAAATGGCTTTAACCAGTCCATTTAGGAAGATGGGAAGGATTCTAGGAGCTTCCTCGGCATCTTCCTAGGTACCTCAATAACCCAACAGCCTGGATGTTCTCTCTGACCTTTCTAGGCAATCAGCTTTGGCGTTTTTAACTTTACGAAGGGAGCTGAACTCAGATTCCCCTTCTGTTTCATTTTTACAGCAACTTTCAGTGGCAAGTAGACAGGCATCCTTTGCAGCTCTGTGCTGCAGGTGAGGAAACAGGGAACTGAGGGGGGTCATGCCAGCAGGCTGGTTGGTGGCAGAGCCAGCTCTAGGTTTCAGATTGCCAGGCTCCTGCCCAGATGGCAACGTGTTGCAGAGGAAGCAGAGTCTGTGACTGTCCACTACTTAGGCCATGCTCAGCTGAAAGCAGTTAAGAAATACAGAGGGAACTGAGGGGGAAGGGAGAGTGGGAGGAGTTCTTACTGGAGTGGGTCATACAGGAAAATATTAACAAGCCTGGCCAATAAATGGCAAGTAATGTCTGTTTTTAAACTGCCTACAAAGAGGAAGGAGAGTTAGCAGGTTTCCTCTCTGCCAAGTTTTTCTTCCTTAAATCATTCTTTAATGTTCAGATTGCAGAGATATTTTTAAAAAATGTACAATATGGTCTCAGCCTTCAGAGAAAATGTTATTAAAGAATGTTCATCATAATAGCTCAAAATTGTTTGCTCTGCATGAAATGAAATCTGACCTTGGAGGGAGATGGTCAACCTTCCCACGTTTGGCATTGCAGATGGGGATGACAGCACTGTTCACTATAGATGTGCATCACTTTGCAAATATTTGGGACCAGCTGTCTTTCATGTGGGCTACTCATCCCACCCCCCAGGTAGTAAAATAAATCAAATCAGCATTTTTAAACTGCTTATCTATTAGCTTGTCATTGACTCTGGTCAAGTGTCCTCAAGGGACGCAACATAGGCTAATTTATTGTTGGAAGTGCCATAAGCTTGTGAGGAAACTGAGGCAGAGAGTCACCAGGTCAGCCAATAAATTTTCTTGTAATCCCTTCCTATTCTGGGGGGGGCGGTGATTCCCCCCACCCCCTGCATGGTCCAGCTTCTCTTCCTGACTAATTTCCTGGCCCTTCAGTTCCAATACTTTGTGGTCACCTTTGATCTCATGCACTTCCCTTCTGCATGATCAGTCAATAAAATCCACCCAGTTCTCTTCCCGTGTTTTTATTTTTCCCATCTTTTCCTATGTTCTGTCTGGAACTGCCCTGTGCAGACCTGCATTACCTTTCAGATGGACCTCACAGAAGCTGCTTTTGTGTCGTGGAATCAGTGGCCCCAATGATACTGAGTTGAATCATGCAAACCTTAATATAGGAATATTTGAAGCTTGTACATGTGATCTTATTTGCAAAAAAAGGTCTTTGAAGATGTAATTAGGCTTAGGGTATCAAAACAAGATTGTCCTGGATTAAGTGGTTGTGGGTCCAAAATCCAATGACGGATGTTCTTTTGAGAGAGAGAGAGAGAGAGAGAGAGGAAAACACATGGGAAATAAATGATTCACATGAAGATAGTCAGAGAATGGAGTGATTCTGCCACAAGCCAAGGGACCCTTGGAGCCACCAACAGCTGGAAGAGTCAGGTAGGACCCTCCCCTAGATCTTTCAGAGGGAACATGGCCTAGTCTACATATTGATTTCAGACATCTGGTCTCTGGAACTGTTAGAGAATACATTTCTGTTGTTTAAAGCCCCCCACTTTGTGGAGTTTGTTAGGAAAAGCCTATGAGTATAATATACTGAACATTTAGCCTATTCCAAGGGAAGAAAATAAATCAGATTCACATCTAAACCTGGACAGTGACAAAAATATGCATAGTCTTGAAGGAAACGGGAAGAAGAGGCTGGTCAGATCGTTTAACAAAGGAGCCCTCAAGGAAGACTGTCAGGAGGTGACATTGGTGAGGGGTAGAAGGAACTATAGGCATTTCCCAGGAGGACTGTATGGTGAGTTGGGGGGTACAGAATAAGGAGGGCCAGCCTACTCAGATAATTGCAGACTCCTTTTTCCAGTCCATCCTGGTCATTCCTCTCATTTCTCACCTTTAAGGTAGATGCTTCAGTTACAGCCATGGCCGATATAGATCGGCCAGCACAGGAAT